GAAATAATTTTTTTTTTCTTTAACGCACGTTTTATTTTCGGAGTAAATGAGCATTTATGCTGACAATACGGCATGATTTGTCTCATAGTTAAAACAGTCGTTTATTGAGTGGGTCTTACCTAGAATTTTGCTGCAGTCATTTTCCAAGAAATCCGTTTCGCCTGTAAAGGGCGGGTGCACGTGACTAATTAATCTCGAACTTAAAATCGTGACGCGTTCGTGTTTCATTCCCTGGATTGGCTGTGTAAGGTTTATGATAACTTCATTGGTCCAGAGTACGTTACAATTGACCGCCACTAACAGGTTTCTCTATGCATTAGCTCTACGTTGTCCTGGTAAGATACTACGTGTTGAGACGTGAGCAATTGTGATGATCAATGACGAGATATAACATTCTCAATCAGTAAAGAAAAAAACCGACATCCTGTTTTTATTCTGAGAAATTATATCTTTCCTTCTTGCTGCCGAGCTAGAAAACCTACTCTCTACGAAACTGCGGAAGTTAAAGTTTCCATGAAAATACTCTTTCTTATGAAGGACATTTTTTCCCGTAGAATAATACATTTGGAATAATCAAAGTTCCATTTAATCATTATAAACCGCTTCATTGTTTCGATTTGAAAACAACGTTGAACAACTTGTACGCGGAACTAAAGTTGTTTGAAAACTTTACACTAGTTTTCTTTTTCCAGATCGATTGCAGAAACATTCTCTTGACAGTAACGTTAAAGTTAAAGGTTAACAGATTTGTTTTAATTTCTAATCTCATAAATGACTCGTTGAGGCCAATCATTTCATAGAAGTAACTCGATACATTCAGTGTTAGATCGCATAACTAAGATAGGTCAGTCAATAGACAAGATATTGCGCATAGCCTTGAAGTGACTGAACTATAACAAGGAGTTCATCTGTATACATTTGTGTGGAGATTTGTCCCGTATAGTTGGTACAGACCCCGTGATAGTCTCACGGCCATCTACAAGTCCGAAGCACCGCCTATCGGCTAAAAACAATAAGGTAATAAATATCTTGTAATTCAAGGCAGTTCCAAGGTACTCTGCAAAGCCATTTATTGTAGACTGACATTTATTCCAATGGTTTTCATTCAGCTATCAGGCTTTTTGGAGACGATAAGCACACAGCATGGGAGATCCAAAACTGCAAAGAGGTTTTACCAAGTTCTACAGCCATAGATAAGATGTATCCAGTGTCATTTCCTGTTTTTGAGGTTTGCTGTAATTGCATTCCAGATATGGATTTCTTTTCAGATCTGTCCATCAATCTCGAATTGGTCATTTTGAAAGGTCGTTAAACAAATACTGAAATTACTGAAATTAACGCAAACTATAGCATTATATTTATTTATTATGTGGTTAGCTCCGTGAGCGGGCAAGATGAATCAAATCCTGCGCTGTGATTGACTACCCGAGCGGGCAAGAATCAGCTATCTTGCCCGCTCGGAACTACCCGCCGTGTCCCACAAGAAAAATTTCGCCGAAAGCCATATAATAAATCCTTTATTGACCAAGCTCGTTGGGTTAAGATTGCTGGATATTGGCCTCGTTCTTTTTTTTGCGAGTTTATTGACCGAGACTCCGTCGCGGTGCATAGACCGAGACTCCGTCTCGGTCCATAAACACGCAAAAAAAGAACTTGGCCAATATCCAACCATCTTGACCTCACACTTAGTCAATAACCCATACTTATATGTGAGAACTGATTCGAGATTACTTGACACGGTACTACGTGTATATATTTATGTCATCTGTAGGGACGTTTTTTTATTTTATTTTACATGATTTGTTATATCCGAACCCAATTAGCCTGTATATCTTTCAACAGAGCTGGATGACTTCAATTTCAATGCAATTCCATGCCAAGAACTTGTCGACGGGGAAGGTTAGTTTGAACCGAGTTTTTCCAGTAAAAGAGATCTAGAGGAAAGAACATTTATCCATCTAATCATACTCAAAAGCTGTCGCCCTATTTCAACCCTGATCGTTTCAACTTATTCCAAGAATTTTGTTGCGTTTTCACCTTCTTCTTTATTTTGTTTACGACGCCGAGATAGAAAGGTTTGTGACGAGTAACTTGAGGGCACAAGAAAAGGAAAATCGACCAGGTGACTTTTATTTTCATTTACTGAAGATTTGCAGATAAATTAAGGTATTAAGGTGTTAAAATATATAGTAACAGTAGCTGATGGTAATATTGTGAGGAGAGAATTTGTTGATAGTCGTAAACCAACAGTTAACAGTAGGTAGCTTTTTTGAAAGTGCAATAACCATGGTAACCACCTGTCAATCTGTATTATCGTGAAACATTGTAAGTAGTTAATATTTACGAGCAGAATACCTGACTGCCTATGATGGAATAGCCTAGAACAACAATGAGCTCATTGGCAGCCAAAAGCGGTTTAGGAGCAGTAAACCAAAAATGAAATCATTTGTTCAGAGACGTTTTGTTAATTGTTCCTGGGGGAAGGAGCCCCCATATGAAAAAGTTGCTGATGCTCGTCGTCTCGTTTAGGGGTGTAAATCAAGGATTCTGGTCTCATTGAGGGTACTCGGGACAAAATGCCACCGGTTTTAGTCGTCGGCAAAGTATTTTTTAGGGTGCACTAACATAGAGCTCGCGTCACCGGCTGTCACTATGCCGTGTTAGGTCACGTTTCGGTGACTTATCCTTGGATTAAAACGCTGCTGTTGGAGCCAAATTCTGTCTGTTCCATTGCTCTGCGAAGATTTGATCTACTGTAACAGATCCCAGCCTCCCTGCAGCGGGAGAAAATCCCAAAGTTTTAGAAAATTGCTTTCCCAGGCCAAAACCTATTATCACAATATCATCATGATACTGATTACTGAGAAGCATTCACTAGGAGTGAACAAAACCATACCTGAGATCTGAAAGTTATCTTCACATCAGTAAAGCATTCCCTCAATGAAGTGAGTGAAAGTGAGAAGAAGACAGCAACGTTTCTTCATGAAATCCCTTTCTTGGGATAATTTAGCCGGTTTAAGATTTTGAAACAACTCTGAGTTCAGACCTTTCACCTCACTGTATAATCTTCATGAGGCTTCACATTCAAATACCTTCGTACTGAGCTTCGAACTTTATCAAACTGAACTGGTGGATGAATGAATGAATGAATGCTTTATTTAACGTGTATATACGCTTAGCTTGAGAGCTAGTTTAGGATTTCAAGTCAGATTTCACTAGAAAATAAGAATTATTGTTCTCATGGGACCTGTGAGCCGGAATATATCGGAGAGGATTAAAGCAAAAGGCCTGGAGATTTCGTGACTTTGAAGCTTTTTTGAAAAACGAAATGCAGATTTCATATTTTCCCTCTACATGCAGGGGCATGCAATGGATCTGCTACTAGAAATATCTTTTCTCCAGCCGAGTTCCTGCCTGGTGGAAATCCAGGGACATTCATGCTTAATAACCAAATCCTAAGCCAGAAATTGTCTACCTTTGTGGGGTTGTTACTTTTCAATCCTCTAGTTATCCGAGTTCGAGTTAACCGAGTTAAAATGACTGAAAAGTGGGGTCAAATCCAAGGAAAATGGGACTTAGTTCTAGTCAGCGGGGGAGGTCGAGTTACCGGGGTTCTACTGTATTCTGTGTTTGCCCATTTTCACTTAAGACTCGTCTCTTTTTCGACCAATTTCCGCGTATGATTTCCATTATTTATGATGAAGAGAGTCACTTTACAATGGCCGAAGGGAAAAATTTAACTTAGGAACAATTCTGAAACGTGATTTGTTTTAATCATTCACATTGAAATGCTTTCATGACATCAACCTCAACTCTTTTATTGGAAACAAAGCAAACCCTTGGCAACAATTCAAATGAATTTTTTCCGATGTTTAACTTATGCCTTTTATTCCGTTAATAATAGCACAAAGAAATCCCTACAACTCTACAGTTTCTGCTTGAATCTTTGTTGAGGATTTCGGAATTTCAGCTCTTCAAAACTTCAGTTATGACAACTTCTTGAAGATCTTAAAACCAGTGTGTGTGTTTTCAGCTGCACATGATGTTTTGCTGCTGCTGCTGCAGTTACGGGGATAAAATCTGTAGCTGTAATAAGTCAGCCAGGCGCTGTTGGAACTGTACGGGAATTTGAGGCCCACCACATCACCATATTGCACAGGGGTACCATCATCAGCGTTCTTGGAGTAGATCTCAAAGGTAACGTACGAATAGCTCAGCCAGGCGCCTCCTGTCATGGAACTGGTGACTCTACAAACAAACCGATCTAAAATCTATACCAGTACATTTTAAATAATTTTATTTCCTACATATAAATAAACGATGTAAACTTAGCCCTAAGTAATTGTTTGTTACTATTTTTATCCTTTCTAACGTATTGTTAACAATCATTGTAAATGTTGTCTCTTTTTTAAAAACAAAAAACTATTTTTTTCGTGAAAAGCCCTACCGTTTATTTGTATGCCACGTACGTATTATTCTAATAAGATAGTTCCAGACTTTAGGAGTGATTCATCGCTTAGTTTTCAGCTACAGCTCTGTTTCGTATAATAATAGTAATCACTCTTGAAATATTGTGCGCTCTCTGAAAACCGATCTCCACAAGCAATTATACCGTGTCACAACAAAATAGTAAAAAAAAAAACTCATGATCGAGAGACAAAGCATTAAAGGTTTCAATCTGAAATTACTAGCGAACTTCTACTACCGTTTTTTGCTATGGTCTTTATTGTTGATCACTAGTGGGTTATGTACTTACGATTCTAGTCCACAATGAGCGTTGGAAGACGCGTTGCAATACAGTCGGTAACTGCTACCATATTGGTTGGAACTGAGTGACACTGTATCACCACTGTTGATTGC